TTCAAATCTTAATGATCAATTTACAATTAACAAGATAGAAGTGAAACAAATTAAACCAACCATTATATATAACGAGACCCAATGGACTCCCATTGTTCCTCTTAATTACAAAACGCAAATCACAAATACACAATGGGCAGTGTTAGACATCAATCCACAAGCCTAGCAACCCAGAAAGTGACAATGACAGAAAAGAGAGGAGACGCAAAGCCGCATAGACCGGGGTTGTGTGCTCCCGAGCCCTTCTCTTCCACAAGCAAGTGCTGAGACCCTGCAACCCAGCACAGCCTTGATCTCCGCTCTGCAGCTGCCCGAGGCTCACCCCTCCCAGTGCCCAACCTTTCTCAGCTCTTTCGCAGGCCACGGTCAGCGCACAGCAAACCACACCACAAACATCTCACTGCTGATTCATCCAAGCGCCTGCGGAGAGGGAACGCTTCCCTCACTTGGATAAAGAGAAATCACAGTTGCACCAAGGATATTTAAATATCTCCACTTACCAACCTCAAAAACAAACCCTATCCCTGTAATAAGCTCTCGGGGTCCCGGGGAAGAGAGACGGAAGGGTAGCTAAAGTTTATGAGAGCGTCAACTAAAATCAGCCCGAATGTCTGCCCGGTGCCAATTAAGAGCAAAATGGAATTAATTCTCTCGTCTCGTGGTCAAAAAACAAGCTATGTAAAAGGCACAGGATCGGCAGTTCATTTTTAGTTTTAAAATGGGACGTGCCATTCACCAACCCTGGAGTTGCAGACGCCGTCCAGGCAGCATGGCACGCGCCGTGCAGAAAGTACCCTGCTAACGGCTGTGGAGGGCTTCCAGAGAACGGGAGGATAGGACTTAAGTTACTTGGGGAGAAAACACATACATCAGACACACACACACGGAGAAACCGTTTCAAAACACTTGCCCAGAGCAGCCCAGCACGGGGCTGGGGTAAGGAGTTAGAGACCACGGAACGGTGAGCCCAGACTGTCAGCTTTCCTAGCGACTGCATGGGCTCCAGTCAAACGGCTGGATCTGTGAACTAAAAAATAAAGCTTATGATCAATGGTAAGAATCCATTTGGTTGGTATGGGATTATAAATAACATGGAACCCTTAGAGAAACGGCATGGGCAACACGAGGGGAGCAACAAGGACTGTTTTAAATTGTTGACCGGCACAAAAGAAATACACCTACTTTTAAGAAAAATTGTACCATAGTACTCTGAGGAAACGCCGGATCAAAATTACCATGTGGTTTAATTATTTTGGAGACTGAGCTTCCACAACGATGACAATTTTAGAAAGCTCAGAAAATTCCAAGGTTTTCCTCACCTCAAAGCACAGGAAAAATTATTTATCCCAAAAGTTTAGTATCGGGTATACAGAGGCATGCTCCTGGAGGTCTCCCATAAGACTTAGTAAGTTTATAATCTTTTTTTAAAAAAGAAACACTTTGAGCCCTTCAAGTTCTATAGGTGAATTCAAAGCAAAAGGTAATGTTGAAATCACATGTTACATTTTATATGAATTTTGAAAATGTCCTAGGCTTCATGGAGGGAGCCAGCAGGAAAAGAGACTCAGTCAGTGGACAAGAAATTAAGAGTAAACAAACAAACAAACAAACAAACCTTAAAATCACAGTTTAGCCTACTGACCACTTTCTTGTGAGATACACAAAATGAATACGTTGTAAACTTCGGGGGCTCCTAGAAGTCTTACCTATAATAAGCAACAATTTTTTGAGTGCTTATGATTGCCAGGCCAGGTTTTGGGTCCACTTGTAAAGTTACAATAGACGCCTATTCTAATTCTTCAGATTTGCAAAACAAGGCGTCAGAGCAGGACTTGAAACACAACCAGATCCACATTTCCCTGATCCTCCTTTGCCTTTAAAAAGTATTTCCTTGTGGTATAGACTTTGTGTCTGTCAGAACGGCACTCAGACCCTCCCTGGAAAAGACAATAATGGCTACATCAAAGTCAGATCCAAATCACCCCTGTCAAGACCCTTCCAACAATGCCATCGGCTACAGTTATATTTCTACGTATCGAGCACGGTGCCAGGTGCTTTACATATGCATGGCTGTATATATGCGTTCCCGTGTATCTCTCTATATTTCTGATTCCCACAACAGTCCCGCAACATGATTTTAGAAATGTTTTTCAGATGGAGAAGCTGAGGTTTGCAGAGATTAGGCAATGTACCCAAGGTCATGAAGCCCAGGGGCAGAGTGAGACTCAAACCTAGCTCTTTCTGAATTCCAAAGTGCCTTTTGCTGCACACCGCCTGTCATCAACAAAGGAACAAGTTGGGACCAGAGTCAGATTAGGATATGGGGGGGGGGGGAGGGGGTGAAACCACACTTGTTTCATTCATTCAGTCAGTAAATATGTGTTGCGTGCCATCTGTGTGTCAGGCATAAAGGAACACACCCAACTGACAAAGTAGTGGTCAGGAACCGGAGGCACCCTAAGCAAGAGGAGGTGGAGAGGGGCTGGGGTTCACTTTCACTGGATCAGTACAGGGTGAATGAACAGATCTAGAGCAGGAAAAAGAGGACCCAGGGCACAGGGCACAAGTTGACCCAGGGTCACGGGTTTACCCTCACATGACAAGCATGCCTACTTCTCCCTGGGCATTTTTTTTTTAAGTTTTTATTTATTTTGAGAAATAGAAAGCATTATGTGTGTGAGCGAGGGAGGGGCAGAGAGAGAGAGGGAGAGAGAGGGAGAGAGAGAGGGAGGGGAAAGAGAGAATCCCAAGCAGGCCCCGCGCTGTCAGAGCGGAACCTGATGCAGAGCTCGAACTCACGAACCAACCCTGAGATCATGACCTGAGCTGAAGTCGGATGCTTAACTGACTGAGCCATCCAGGCGCCCTACTCCATGGGAATTTAAAGATTAAATTTTCTTTCCCAAACTTTCTTATCGTAACTACTTTGGCCTGGATTTTCTTTGGTAGTAGATGTGAAATATTATACTCATCACAAGAAAGATCATTGGCTTCGGAACTAGAAATATCGAAGATAGAACTCGAGCTCTCCCACTTCTCAGCTATTTCAACACCCCGAGTATGGAGTCCCTCATCTGTAAAAGAAGGTAATAATTCCTGTCTCGGGGCACCTGGGTGGCTCAGTCAGTTAAGCGTCCAACTTCAGCTCAGGTCATGATCTCACAGTTCGTGGGTTCGAGCCCCGCGTCGGGCTGTGTACTGACAGCTCGGAGCCTGGAGCCTGCTTCAGATTCTGTGTCTCCCTCTCTCTCTGCCCCTCCCCTGCTCATGCTCTGTCTCTCTCTGTCTAAAAAATAAATAAAAACATTAAAAAAAAATTCCTGTCTCAAGTTGTAAGAATTAAGTAACATATACCAAGCATATAGCAACTCCTCCTTTTAATACACTGCAGTTTCCCCAATTATGTCTCCTTAGAGAGCAAGATAATTAATAATCACAAAGCAATATTAAGATAACATAATCTTTTAAGTCCCAGATCAACTTCTTAAATTATACGATCCAGTTTGTTGTTGTTCTGTTGTTTATTTCTTCTAACAAATTACATACTTTTGGGTTTATGTGAGGCAAATCACACATTTCTAGTTAGCAGTAAGTGCTGTTGATATATTATGAGAGTCTCTTCCATGACAAAATCATTTGGGTTCCCTTGTCAAATTTCCTGAAAATATCTGGCATTTTAGCATCCTGAGCTTTTTCCCTACCCAAACAAGATATTTAATTAGTATTTGTTAAGAAGGTGCCCATGTCAGAGCACATTCTGGGTGCTTTATGGGAGCCTCTGTCTTTCTGAGAGCAGAAAGAACTGACTCCCCCAAAAGATTCAGGGATGGGGATTCCATCAGCTAAGCCACCTCATTGATGCAGGAACGCAAGATGGGGCTCAGGGTCATCAGATATGCTCTGATCCTCCTGGAAATTCTTTCTGAATGAGATACCAAAGTCAGAAGTTTGTTTGCGGAGCACTACTGCTTGCTCTGTGTAGATCTAAGTGAGCTTCAGAAAAATACAGAAGAGATCTACAGGTTATTTTCCATTTGGTTATATTTTAATGTGATATCTGATAGCTTGTTAGTTACATGAATGATGTCTTTCGTAGTTGAATTCAAAGGGACTCTGTCCAACATCGTTCATTTACAAGAGGAAACAATAGTTCAAGCAGGTCGAATAAATTTGTCCGTGACTACACAGTTACTCTCAGAGCCAAGGTGAAAACTCAGGTTTTTTGTTGTTTTTTGTTTTTTTTTACAATTTAGAGTCTAAAATAATTCATTTGCTAAAATAATCTGATTAGAAAATGTGCCAAAAATAATTAAGATCTCAATCAATGTATTTTATAAAAGAGCAGTGTACCAGGGTGGCTGGCTGGCTCAGTCAGTAGAGCACACGACTCTTAATCTCAGGGTGGTGAGTTTGAGCCTCACATTGGGTGTGGAGCCTACTAAAAAAACAAATAAACAAAAACAGTGTACCTACAAAACGAATGATAGCTGTCCTAGTAAAACAATTTTAGGGGAAACAAAAGGATGGCTTGGGTTTATGTATTTTGAAGTATCCCCTACTTTCACTGTTATATGTACACATCTCATCTATTATCATTTGACCTAAAGATAGCTTCTGTGCATTCACGGAGAATCGTGAGAATAGATTAAAACATGAACTGTATTAACATAAGACTTTCCAACTGTTTAACTTACCCACATCCTTTATTAGAATACCTGTCATCTTGACTGTTGTGTTCTGAAGTTTCATAGTTATCAATTTTGAACATTAAAAAAAGTCAAATAATAGTACGTATACATAATCATGAAAACACACCAGGGTGTCTGTACAATCAAGAAAGTGTTCATACAGAGAAAATATTTTCACAGTTAACATATCAACACATATCTAATTTTGACATTAGACTCTAAAATAGTGGAAATGCTGTTTTTTTTCTTAAGGAAACAAACGATAGTATTTACACAAACAGTGCTCTGAAAGTATTCTATCATATTACTTACCTGCTTTTTTGGGAGATTTGTTCCAGTTTCTTGGCTAATGCACAGCACTCTTCCTTTAACTTTGTCAAAAATGTATTCTGGGAGGTCAGCAGTGAATACTGTTCATTTTCTAGAAATAACAACAACCCCCCCCCCAACATAAGATGTTTATGGTTGTGACAGGATGCTTCTGTATGTAGAGTGGTAAAGGTACTAAGACCACTACCCATTTCCTATAAGCCACTAGGTCAATTTCAATGTCCTAAGTCGAAGCACCAGTCACCTGGCAAGACACTAAATCTTGGGAGGCATTAATTTTTCTAATAATTACACACCAGAAACATTTTTTATCATACCAGCTTGGGGTAATGTTTTAATGTGCTGATAAACTGTCAGAAACCTCAAGATGCTTATATCTTTGTAATAGGCAAGATATTATATTTTTATTTTGACAATTTTACTATAAACAGAGTGTCAAAAATAATCATGACTAGATAATTCAAAAACAAAATAACTGAGGAACTCTCTTGTATACTGTAACTCCTGCTTTGAGTTTCACATTTGCTCATATATTTCCCTATCCCCACCCCTGGTATATAGTTCTTTCATTATGAAGGTGAAACACATAATTTCCTTAGAACTCAGCTTTCATTGTCAACAGCATGAGCTTCAAGGAAGATCTGGTCAAAGGAATTGAAGAGAGTGTGATATTTTCCTGCAAAATAAAAGGGAGTGCTCTTAAGGTGGTCTTAACAGTTAAATACTCTCACGTAGCGCTCAGAGATTCTGCCCAAGACCCCTCGATCGCTGGAATCCTGCAAGCAGGAAAGGCAAATGCTAATTTTTCCTGAAATTTCCTCCTTTTACTTTTAGTGGAAAAACATCTATTGAGTCTGGAAAGTGCTGGAGGGACTCATGTGAGTCGGTATGACATTTACCTCTTTGTAAGCAAATCGATGATTTAGTGAATTTTACATGACCGATTTTCCACCTACAGGATAAGCAGTAATTTTTTAGCATGTCACCGAATGCAGTGCAATGAAATCATGTGCGAATTATCTTTAAGTGTAAGCTTTGCTAAGTCCCTTTATTTCTTTTCAACGTTAACTATCGATTGGCAAAAAGCATGCATCATCCAGAGCAAAATAAATCAAGGCACTAAAAACCAGGCAACACTTTTCTGGAAGAGACGGGATCAATTAAACTTTTGTTTTTAATAGTACAATCAGCTTGGAGTATGTGGTGCGGAATTATAATGACTGCCACTGTCTTGTTTTGACTAACACTGTCTGTGAACACACAACTCCAAAGTGAAAGGAACCACATAATGCTCTGACTGAACACATCAAACTGCCTGCTTGGAAAGTGCATTTTACTTTCAAATGCAAGGTAAAGAGTTACTGGCCAACTCAGTCTGCAAAATCGCGCCAACGTGATGAAAGATGGCAATTTTTAGCCAAGCTGCCAGCTGTGGTCAATGCCTTGTATTAGCGAATTTCCCCAGCAGTTTGAGAACTTGAAGAATGTGAAGGATTAAACATCACTCTAGACAGGGGCTGGGGGGAGGTGGGGACATCATACAAATGCTAAAAATGTTCGAAGCTGCAAAGATTAAATAAAGGAACATATCAATTTGGAGCCACTGAATTACATCCAGCTGCGACAGTGAATTAAGAACCGATTAATGGCTAAAGCTTTTCTCCAGTTTGGATGCTGAAGCAAACTCATTAGGCTTTTAGAGTAGCTATAATGTGTGTACTGTGGGAACTGTTCAATGCTATTCAGGAGACTCTAACTGTAAGCTCAGAGCATTTCCCGCAGAGCCTCTGATGCTATTTTCTTTATATAACATGTGTGCCTGAAAACCCAGCCAAAAACAAGCCCTTTGTTTTTCTACTTTGTTGTGGTCTCTCTCAGCTTTACGTTTCTTGAACACAGGTAAATAAACTCATAATCCAGATGGTGCAACAGATGTGAGAGCAGCACTCTGAAATCAACAGACAGTGGGCAATACTTTCCGTTTTCTCTTTTAAACGCTAACTAATATGTAATTCGGAATCTCCGGTGTAGTTAGCATCTGCTCCCTTCGGCCAGCCAAAGGTTACAGGTGTTCCTGATGTCATTTCACAGTAAGGCGTGGGCCTGGCTTGTGAGCGAGTGCCCAGGCTCTAATCTTCCCCTACCACCTACCAGTTTTGTCATGCTGGGCCTCCATTTGCTGTATCTTCTGTGTCAGCTCCTGCTCCCTTTGCTGGGCCTGAAGGGCTTGGGCCTTTGCTTCGTTGCTAAGCCTCTGCTGAATGCTATCTTTTTCCAGTCTACAAAGCAGAGAGGAGACAGACAGAAATTTAATCTGCAGATGCACGGGGCCTCCTCATTTCCCCTACAGACCCCAGAGAGCTGACGCGGTCGTCGATTGTGGGGCGTGAGAAGACAACAGTCTTTGTCGGGCTCCCCCCACTCCCGCCCCCCTGGGGGGGAAGATCCAAAGGACCCTTCCTACTGTGGTAAATACGCGCCATAAATCTAACTGGACTCAAGGACGCAACTTTAAAAATCAAAAAATCGTGACACCCGAATATTGGTGTTTTGTAACTTTAAAACACAAACCCCCTCTACTGTAAGACTGTCAATGTTGTGGTACCAGTTCATGTTTTATCTCTGGAATGGTATTTCCTAATCATCTTACGGTTCTAGGAAGAGCCTGATTCCATCCTCCAAACCCTAAACTCTCGAAACGAAGCGTTGGAGACGCTCGGATGTAACGCAGGAGATTCTCTCTAGAAGCGAGGAAATGATTCTGCGGTACCACCTGCATGTTTTCGTTCAATGTCTTCACACATTAGGCCACGTAATGTGAATCTAAATACGAATATGAAAATGAACGACTTCCCCTAGCGTGTCACAGTAGGACCCCTTTGGGGTCACGTTGAAAGAAATGGCGGGATGAGGATATTCCATGGTCCAAGACAATATCCCACCCTGCTGTGACGGAATATTGACCCAGCAAGATGGGTCACGCCACTGAGTCCAATAACCCATCACCGTGGTTCTTAAAGAAAGAGACTGCCTGAACAATTAGAAGCTGACGAACGCAGGGGGTCTCATCGCGGGCGGCACCACGCACGCACACACACACACATTAGGTCGGTTCCTCATACTCTAAATATGGGTAAGTGAAATGAGGGTTTCCTTTAATTAACTGACTTAGTTATTTCTAACTCCTTATCTCCTTGTGGGCATTTCTCATCCGTGCTGTTTTAGTTTACTAATTGAGATATTTACTGCCTTGCCTTTGCCAAACTAAAAATAAACAATTCCATAAAGCTATCACTAGTAGTCTACATACCGCTGTGGAGCTTCAATTCATTGGCTTCTAATTATAAAGCAACATAAGGAAAGTCTGCGTTGAAATTGGTCAATGCATGCAGGAATGTTGTGGTGGAAAATTTCAGAAGGAAACTACACCCATATCTCACTCAAATGGAATCATCAGGAGTCCATGCTAAATGTGAAATAAGGTCCCTTCTGGTGCTTCTAATAACGACACCCCCTTGGATTTGCTCCAAGGTCTTGCTTCACACTCAGTTCCAACAAATAGATAGACTAGGCCACTTTCTGCCTCCCCAGTCACACTGTGTCTTTTCTGCCCATGGATCATTGCATATGTCTCTTTGTTTTCCTGGGGTGTCTCCCCCCACCCATCCTGTTCCATGCCCCCCACCCCCACCCCATCGTTCTGTTCAGTATATACTGCTCTTTGAGGTGTCCTCAGAATTCTCCCCCTCTCCTTCCATTCTCTCCTAAATTATTCTTTCCCCCATGACCTAAGTACACGTTGCAAAAGTATATGTCCTATAAGATAGCATTTAGCACACTTGCGTTATTGGTTTATGTGCCTGGGCCTTTTTGTCATCTTTGTCTCTTTCTACCCTGAGCGCCGCTCAATACTTGGCACATGAGAAGTGGGCAGTGAACACTAATGAACGGATGTTCTTATACCCTTGCTGTGGGGGAAGTGTGGATGCACCTTTCGTGAGGTTGGAGAATCTGCTCATGTCTCAGATGAGGAAGCAAAACTTTTCAGACATGTTAAAAAGGAAGAGTGCCTGGAAGAGGATGGCTCTAGTGGCTTTGCCAGCTAGAGACCATGCTGCTGAAGGAATCAGCCAAAAAAGAGCACTGTGGTCTCTTCTACTGAGTAACCACTCCTAGGTCAGACCCCTGGTTATGGGTCTGAGACCCCTAACAACTGGGTAGCCATACTATGCACTGCTCAAAACCAATACCTATTTGAGAGTGAAAAGGCGTACTATTAGCACATCGAGACAACAGTCATAACTGGGGCTACCCTTTGCAAACTGGGGCTATGGGTCTCCTCCGTAGGGGTTGCCAGCCTCAACATCAATTTTCAGCATGAGAAGTTGCCTAATTACTGATATTCCAAATTTACTATAGAAAAATACTTACTGTTATTGTAGTTCTCATTACAAAATGAGACCATTTAAAAGAGAAGTCTACCAACAAACGTTGAGCTACTTTTATTTCTTGACTCCTTCCCCAATTTTTACTCTATTTAAGAAATGACATGTGATTTTATTATTTTTAATTGAGGTATAATTGACATATAATATATTGGTTTCAGGTGTAAAACATATTCGATATTTGTACATAGTACAAAATGATCACAATAATACTAGTGACCATTTCTTTTCATTGCATGAAAACACAGCCTGTCTTTACTTTCCTATTTCCTCCCTTCAGTCCCCTTTCCTCTTATGTTTGTTTGTTTGTTTATTTAGGGTTTATTCATTTTGAGAGAGAGAGAGAGAGAGCGAGCGAGCACACAAGCAGAGGAGGGGCAGAGAGAGAGGGAGAGAGATTGAATCTCAAGCAGATTCTGCACTGCCAGCACAGAGCCCGACATGGGGCTCGAACCCATGAACCATGAGATCACAACCTGAACTGAAGTCAAGAGCTGGATGCTTAACTGACTGAGCCTCCTCCCGGGCACCCCTCAAATCTATTTATTTAAATCTGCTCACATTATAGCTGAAAAAAGAAATCTGCTCAAAGGTTACATTGTAAGTGATGTGAAGGCAGAGATGGGATTTGAAATACAGTAGAACCCTGGATTGCCAGTAACTTGTTCTGCAGGTATTCCACAAGACGAGCAAACATTTCTAATAAATTTTAATGTGATAAACCAGCGATGTCTTGCAGTATGAGTAGTATGTGAAGCCAAATGTCACATGATCACAACTGAGCCGATGGTTCTTGAAATTTACTTTGATATACAAGTGCTTTGGATTACAAGCATGTTTCCGGAATGAATTATGCTTGCAAACCGATGATCTACTGTATTCTGATTTAAGGCAGCCTATTTTATGACACTCCAGAGGCAATGCAATAATGGACTGAAAGAGTAATAAAAACCACTTAGGTAGCCAAGGGAGGGATTAGAGAAGAATCTGAATCAATTCATTTAATATTTATCATAACCCCATAACGTGAAAGACAGTCTGCTAGGCACCGAGTCAAATAAAGATAAGTATGGCATAGTCCTTGCTCCTAACAGGGAATTCAAAATGGCTAACATAGAAAGTAGAGGGTGCGATACACCACAAGAAAGCTAGGCAAAAACTCCCGAGGCAGAGAAAATGAGAGGTTAATCCTAGCTGGGTGTGAGCGCATCATGAAGGGTAGCTGAGCCAGTCTTCCCCAACCGGTTTTCTTTCAGTTCTCATTCGAAACACTGATGATCTCACTCAATCCAACTTGAAGTTAGCCATATTTTTAAATTGGAAAAGCAATGGCTGTAAAGAAGAATTTCTTGGTTGTTATTAAAATGAGGCTGGCGTGCCTGGGTGGCTCAGCGGGTTAAGCGTCTGACTCTTGATCTCGGCTCAGGTCTTGATCTCGTGCTTCATGAGATCGAGCCCCGCATCAGGCTCTGTGCTGACAGCACGAATTTGCTTGGGATTCTCTCTCTCTCCCTCTCCCTCTGCCCTTTGTCCGCTCATGCTCTTTCTCTCTCTCAAAATAAATAAATACACATTTTTTAAAAATGAGGCTGAAAGATTTATTCATAACAGCGAAAAATTGGAAACAACCTAAATGCCCACTAGCTGCTAAATGGATAAACAAATTGTGGTGTGGCCGTACAACAGGGAACTAGGAATAGGAGGAATAACAAGAAACAGGCTACCGTACGTGTAACACATGGGTGAGCGTCAAAAGCAGTATGCTTAGTTAAAGAAGCCAGACACCAAAAACATATTGCGTGATTTCACGAACATGACATTCTAGGAAAGTAGGCACCACAGTGACATGTCAGTGCTGCCAGGACCTAAGGATCGGGGAGGGGTGCGAGGAAACAAAGGGGCAGGAGGGAAACTGGGGGTTGATAGAAATGTTCTCTATCATGATTACGATGGTCCCACATCTGTGTCCATTTGTCAAAATAGATTTCATTACACACCTAAAACTGGTGATGTTTAGTATATTTAAATTCACCTCAATAGAGCTGATTTTAAAAAGGAGCAAAGGGGGCACCCGGGTGGCTCAGTCGGCTAAGCCTCTGACTGTTGACTTCGGCTCAGGTCATGATCTCATGGTTGGTGAGTCTGAGCCCTGCATCTGGCTCCATGCTGACAGTGCAGAGACTGCTTGGACTCTCTCTCTCTCACTCTCTCTCTGACCCTCCCCTGCTCATGGTCTCTCTCTCTCTCTCTCTCTCTCTCTCTCTCTCTCTCTCTCTCACCCTCTCTGTCTCTCTCAAAATAAATAAATAAACGTAAAAAAAAAAAAAGGAGTAAATGTGCTAGAACAGGAACAGTTACCTTCTCCAACTTATTCACAATCACTGGTGGCCACACATGCACCCTGGTGGGCATGTCAGTGTTTTCTTGGTAACAACTGAGAGCTAAAGGAAATTAACAAGCACTAGGTAGACCTCAAGCGTGAACTAAGTACACACAGAGGCTTTGTCGCTCCTTTTTTCCAATTACAGTTCTGGTGATTATATTTTCTTAAAGTGGCTATGATGATATTTACCATCCCATTAAAAAAATGGACTGAAGAATTAACTTTATGTTTCTGATCCTCAACTTTATCATTTATTATTTTAAATCCCACTATTTTAAAAATACGCATGGCACCAAGCAAAAATGACTTATTAGAACTTTTTTAAAGACATTTAAAATGTTAGGGGCCTCTGGGTGACTCAGTTGGTTAAGCATCTGACTTTGGCTCAGGTCATGATTTCGCAGTTCATAGGTTCGAGCCCCACATTGGGCTCTGTGCTGACAGCTCAGAA